TAGTTTCGCTTTCACAACGAAACACGGCGGCCTAGAGGGAGCAGAGGCTGGGGGATAAAGTGAGGAACGGCCAGAGGGCTAGAGTGAGCAGAGGTAGTGGGCTTGAGAATGGAGCGGCGGGCGGATTCGACGAAGGAGCATCCGGAGGGCTTGCGGCAACCACATGTGACGACCCCGGGCTGGACTCCGCTTCGTCCACGGTGAAAGCCGATCCGGTGATCCACAGCGCAAAGTTGTTGTATTTCCTCAGCAACCAGCACGGATCAGCTCCAGGCATGACGAAGCGGATATCGTCCTCTTTTGGAAGCCCAAACTAAGTAGTTTCGCTTTCACAACGAATCACACAGCGCATTCACAACATGGCGGTGGCGGCAACAACAATACTACAGCGAGAATTAAAGTTACGCCTTCTTTCTTTGCGTGAACATTTGGGCGGCATTATGCAAATCTTCCCACATCGTGACATAGACATGTGGGGGCGTGTTAGAACGAGCCGTTTTAGGTAGGTGTGGCTGACTCTTAACTTTTATAAAGAATATCTCTTTGGATTTGAGACTTTAGTCTTTGCAACTTTACAGATCTTCTTTATGCACCAAGAGCTTGTAACACTTTAAGTAGAGCCACTTGCAAAGAGAATCTATATGACTGCATGGCTTGCACTTGATCAGAATTCCTTTAGTGCAGTGTGCAGTTTCAAAAATAACCCCAGAGTGAAAAATCGAATAGTGTGTGGAGAAGCGAGTTTAGACAAAGTCCTTCACATGAAAGCTGCAAGCCCCAGTGACAGAGACAGAGCTAAGCAGGCTTGTCAAGGAAAGGTGGCACGGAGCCCTTACCGTGAAGGCATAACTCGGCTGTTCTTCATGGTCCACGGGCCTCAGTAGTGTCAGGTAGCGTGCGATCCCACTGGGCGTCACTGCAAAGATGCTGTTGTAGTTGTCCAGAGAGATGCGCACCATGGGATCTTTCGTCTGCAGTGCAAATAAATCACCGTAGGTTCCCGTGTCAGAAGGCAGAGACATCAGAAGATAGAGCATGCTGGGAATATGACTATACAAATTGCTAAGGATGGGGAAAAACACTCATAAAACCCAGTGCATTAGAGAAACACACTGTATAAGGGAGAACTCCAGTCAAAAGAGAGATAAACAACCCAAAACCTTCTAAAAGAAATTTCAAAAGCACCCACGTCTGAAGTTTAAAACACTGATATCTGAAATATCAAAGTAAATTAATAAGGAACATACATATCTAAAGAGATTATACAAGAGCAACAGCTTTACTGCTCTGTAACTTTCATGCTTATGAAATCTGCAAATATAATGCATTTGAGATGTTAAGTGTTGTATCAGCACTGAGGTAAAACACAATATTATCATGTAAAGTTTGGAATAATACATATTTTTCTAATGTTTTTGAAAGCCTCTTATGCTCACCAAAGCTGCAGTTACTATGAACAAAAACACAGTAAAACAGTAATATTGTGAAATAGTATTATACTTTAAAAGAACTGTTTTCTATTTGAATATATTTTAAATGTCATTTATTCCTGTGATGCAAAGCTGGATTTGCAGCATCATTGCTCCAGTCTTTAGTGTCACATGATCTTTCAGGTGTCTTTAATGTTTTTGTTGTTGTTTTAGGATGCAGTCACTTTTTTGATGGACATTGAATACATTTTCAAATAGTTACTTTTGATGATTGTAATAATATTTCACAATATTCAGTTTTTCCATAAAAAAGTGCTTTAGTGAGCATACGAGACGTTCAAAAAAAATAAATAAAAATAAAATACAATAAAATAAATAATACAAATAAACAAGCTGCCTATTTTCTGAATAATGAATGTACTGCAAAAAAAAATGCAGTAAAAATAAATGTAAAAATTAAAGTAAAAATTAAAGACTTTTAAATCAGCCATTATGCCCTTGCAGTACATACATTTTTCATGCCACACTGTGCATTATGCGGATGCAGACACTGCTGCTGACCTCTTGAAAAGTGCACAGCACATATATTTCTGTGTGAGTATTAATTGCTAAATGTTTTCAATGCATTTCCTTATTTAATGAAACACAAATAATATCTAGCAAATATATTTCATTAATGTTACAGCAGTACTTCTCATTAACCTTAGCAGTTTACTTTTGTAAAACATCCCATTTGAATTGGATTTAAAAAGATATTAGTGATTTCACCATTATTTAATGGTAAGCACAATAAACTGTCATCTAAGGAAAATATACTTGCATTTGTATTACTTTACATTTACATGAATTTATGTGACAAGGCTTATGCAATGCTATACTTTATTAATTTTTTTTTTTACAGAAAAAAAAACATACTATAATAAAAATGCTACAGTAAAAACATGTCAATAAGTTACCTTACCATAAATAGTCAAAAGAGCTGTAAGTGGTTTAATTAACATCACTTTACATGTAATTTTACAGTAAAAAAATAATGTCAAATGTATGGTTTTTGATGCTATCATGCTGACCAGTTCATTACAGTGCAAAAGTTTAATGTAGGTCTATCTGATAAATATTAAATTAGCATAAATATAAAAATATAGTAAGTACTTACTATGCACTTAGAAAGTACACTTATTAGCACACAAATAACACATCAGATTAAACACTCATGTTGTTTGCAACTCCATTAACAATTCCTCATTATGCTCCAACACAGTCCTGCAAATTTACCAATTTATTAATGAGATCAATTTCCAGTCTGCCCAAAATGTAAATGAAAATCAATAAACAAGATGCAGAGCAGTAATCATGCAAAGCATTAAGCAAATTGAACGATACAAAAGCGCAGCACAGCAAAAATGAGCGAAGAGAGAGAAGGCAAACAAGGGCTTTTCACTTCACACGTCTCTTGCTAATTTTAATAATACCTACAGGCACATCACCGGGATTCAGCTTTACATGGGAGACAAAACATATGCTTGACATTAGAGCATTTTCCATCTCTAAGACTTATAGGATTAAAGAGATAGTTCACCCATAAATGAAAATTCTGATGTTGTTTACTCAACCTTATGACATTCCAAACCTGTACAACTATTTCTTTCCTGAAGATATTTTACAAAATGTCCACGCTGCTACTTTTGGAATAATTATGTTTTTTTTTTCTCCTGTGATTGAATTTTCAGCAGCTGTTACTTCATGCTACATGATCCTTCAGAAAGCATTAATTTGGTGTTCAAGAAAAATATATAATTTTTATCAAAGTTGAAAACTTGGCTGAAGTTGAAAGCAGCTTGTGCTGCTTTTGTGATACACTGCCATTAAAAAGTAAAATAAATAAATGAATAAATAAATAACAACAGCAATATTATTATTATTAATAATAATAATTATTATTATTATTATTATTATTAATAATAATATTTTGTATTTAGCAAGTACACATTAAATTCATCATAATTACAGTAAATAATAATATATTTTAAAATGTATAACAT